TAATCGTGATTAGATAAGGGAGATATTACGCAAGCTGTAGCACCATTAATGTTAACAAAGTCATCACTGATGGACCCCATGGCACGGGTGACATAGCATTAATGGCAACGAAGTTTGAGGATGGTGATCATGAGCATGGTGACATAGAAGGAGCCCAATACTTCCAATCCAATATACCTAAAGACCCATTACAACATATTGGAGGTTCAATGACAAGAGCCCGAACTAAAGCCATGAAGCAAGCCTTGTTCAGTCTTGTGCAAGAAGTTTAAGAGCTTGGAGAGCATTGGGGCACTCCTCTCAAGCCCAAAGGAGAGCATCTATACGTGTATAATATATTTAAGATCTAAACTCATGAAGAGTCAAGCCCAAGAGGTGCAGACCTTAGCCCAATGCAAGGAAGACTACAAGTTGAGCCTCTTGCAAGCAAGGAGGCATGAAACCCTAGTGAAGAAGTCAAGGGTGGTGTGATTTTAAATCCTTTATGATCCCTTGATTGTCTCCTAAATTATTTCCTATTTTAATGGTCCTTTGATTTGATTTTCTATTTTGAGTCTAGTCAAAGGTTAGAATTAATTATAGTATTAATTTCTAAATTTTGTAATCCCATAGTTTTAGGATCACATCTCCTAAATTATGTGGCTGAATATTTTATCATTATTTTATATTATTTCTCCTTTTAGTATTAGGAAATTAGGGTTTTAATTTTAGGAAATATTCTTTTCTATGAGCCTATATAAATTAGGCATGCTCCCTATTGTAAACAACACAGAAGTTGAATGAAATTATTCATTTTAGAGTTTATAACTCTTGTGAGCCTTAGTGCTTTGTGGTGGCATTCCGTGTGAGAAACAGATGTGATCAAGAGTGTGATCAACTCTTGTGGTGTCTTCGAAGGTTGAGGTTCTTAGAGGCAGGTGCTCTAGAGGATCTTCACCTTGATTATTATCCTATTGTTTACTTCATACCTTTCTTTATTTCTGTCATAAATTTCGTCCCTTCCCTTTTATTCTTGTGTTTTTGTTGTTTCAGGGTTCTGTCCCTAAACTAGCACGATTCTGCTTCCGTGTCCCCTATCAGATAATGATGGACCCCATGGCACGGGTGACATAGCATTAATGGCAACGAAGCTTGAGGATGGTAATCATGAGCATGGTGACATAGAAGGAGCCCAATATTTCCAATCCAACGTACGTAAAGACCCATTACAACATATTGGAGGTCCAATGACAAGAGCCCGAACTAAAGCCATGAAGCAAGCCTTGTTCAGTCTTGTACAAGAAGTTCAAGAGCTTGGAGAGCATTGGGACACTCCTCTCAAGCCAAAAGGAGAGCATCTATACGTGAATAATATATTTAAGATCCAAACTTATGAAGAGTCAAGCCCAAGAGGTGCAGACCTTAGCCCAATGCAAGGAAGACTACAAGTTGAGCCTCTTGCAAGCAAGGAGGCATGAAACCCTAGTGAAGAAGTCAAGGGTGGCGTGATTTTAAATCCTTTATGATCCCTTGATTGTCTCCTAAATTATTTTCTATTTTAATGGTCCTTTGATTTGATTTTCTATTTTGAGTCTAGTCAAAGGTTAGAATTAATTATAGTATTAATTTCTAAATTTTGTAATCCCATAGTTTTAGGATCACATCTCCTAAATTATGTGGCTGAATATTTTATCATTATTTTATATTATTTCTCCTTTTAGTATTAGGAAATTAGGGTTTTAATTTTAGGAAATATTCTTTTCTATGAGCCTATATAAATTAGGCCTGCTCCCTATTGTAAACAACACAGAAGTTGAATGAAATTATTCATTTTAGAGTTTATAACTCTTGTGAGCCTTAGTGCTTTGTGGTGGCATTCCGTGTGAGAAACAGATGTGATCAAGAGTGTGATCAGCTCTTGTGGTGTCTTCGAAGGTTGAGGTTCTTAGAGGCAGGTGCTCTAGAGGATCTTCACCTTGATTATTATCCTATTGTTTACTTCATACCTTTCTTTATTTCTGTCATAAATTTCGTCCCTTCCCTTTTATTCTTGTGTTTTTGTTGTTTCAGGGTTCTGTCCCTAAACTAGCACGATTCTGCTTTCGTGTCCCCTATCAGATAATGATGGACCCCATGGCACGGGTGACATAGCATTAATGGCAACGAAGCTTGAGGATGGTAATCATGAGCATGGTGACATAGAAGGAGCCCAATATTTCCAATCCAACGTACGTAAAGACCCATTACAACATATTGGAGGTCCAATGACAAGAGCCCGAACTAAAGCCATGAAGCAAGCCTTGTTCAGTCTTGTACAAGAAGTTCAAGAGCTTGGAGAGCATTGGGACACTCCTCTCAAGCCAAAAGGAGAGCATCTATACGTGAATAATATATTTAAGATCCAAACTTATGAAGAGTCAAGCCCAAGAGGTGCAGACCTTAGCCCAATGCAAGGAAGACTACAAGTTGAGCCTCTTGCAAGCAAGGAGGCATGAAACCCTAGTGAAGAAGTCAAGGGTGGCGTGATTTTAAATCCTTTATGATCCCTTGATTGTCTCCTAAATTATTTTCTATTTTAATGGTCCTTTAATTTGATTTTCTATTTTGAGTCTAGTCAAAGGTTAGAATTAATTATAGTATTAATTTCTAAATTTTGTAATCCCATAATTTTAGGATCACATCTCCTAAATTATGTGGCTGAATGTTTTAACATTCTCTGTAAGGTTCTCTTAAATTTTGAAAGCAAGAAGGCTGAAAGCTCTTATTGTAACTCCTCTCACCCTAACATTCTTGAGGGAATATAAGCTCTTATTGTTGGATCACCGTTGCCATTAATGCTATGTCTAGTTTAACCCATCCGAGTTTAGGTAGGCTCCATGTATCATCATTTATAGAGTTTCTTTTGCCCAAGCGGGTGAATTTGGATAGAAGCTTCAAATCATTATTTATCTGTTAAGTGCTAGAGAGGGCAATATTGCTATCTAAGATCTCATCTTTTGAGTACAATTTTTTACATTTAGCTTTCAAAAATTCTAACAAGCTTCTGCAGAAAGTCTCTGCAAGGGCGTTCTTCTTATTCTTAAGCTACCTATTTCAATTTTTGCATTTTAGATTATCCAATCCTACATATTAAGAGAGAAGAAGGTATTAAGTTTTGTAGAATTAACTAATTTTTTCCAAACCTTTTTAGCTTCCTCACAGTTGCATAAATTATGAATTGAAGTGTCAAGGGAGTTACAACCAAGCGAACAAATATGTTGATAGGGAGTATTTTTAGTTGTTTGCATGGTTGGTTTGGAGACGATTTAAGGCAGCCTTCCATAAAAAGATATATTTTTTTTTTCATATGTAGGCCACTTTCAAAACTTAGTCCATATATTAGAGTGATATTAGTCTTTATGAGTTTCCCTGGCTTTATAAGCTAATTTGATGGAGAAGTTTCCATCAGAGAAGGGTCTCCAAAGAAGTGCATCTTTTTCACTTTGTTGGTTAGGAGGTTGCATAAGTGAGATTTGTTTAAATACATTAGGGTGGAGATTGTGACTTAAAAGATCAATGTTTCATCCTCCTCAAAAGTTAGAGACCTTAGCATGGAGAATAGAATTGGTATTGAAATTATGACGATGATGAATGATGATCTCAGGCAGAGCTACTTGTAGTTGAGGTGGGACATTTGCACCCCCTTAACTTGGGAGAAATAAGATGCATAAAGTATGAGTTTTGATATTTTGTAGTTTATACTCTCTCTTTTTTTTTTATACTCTGCACTCTCTTATTTTAATATTTTAAATTTTAAACCCATTTTAATCTTATTTTTTATAGCCTAGATTTGAAATTTAATTTTTTAACTCAAAGCCAATGAATATTAGTCTGTAATTTCATTATATTTAAATAACAATATTATTTATTAACCTTTAAAAAATAGAAAAAAAATTTAATTTGACTAAACTAGAGCCACACATCCTCATCTCAAATGCTAGTTAGAGACTAGTAAAAAAAAAAAAAATAAAGATTCAAGGCTTAAGAGTAAACTTGTTGAATGTTTATTTTTTGTTAGCTCATTATACTTGTAAGGTTGAATTAAAAAATAAAGAATAAAAAAAAGAAAAAGAAATAGTGTATTTGGAAGGGTCAAAATTTTTTTCTCGTGCTGCGAATCCTGACTCCACCATTGCCCTCGGTGAACCAGGATCCTAGCTTTACCACTGATGATGATGATTATGATATTTTTTTCCTTCCTATCATAATATAAATTATTATTAATTAATATACAATTATAAGAGAATAGAGGAAAATTTTGATTTTCTAAAAATTTTCTCATATGTATAATCGTGTTCTTGAATATATTCCTTTGATCCTATTTATAAAACATTTTAAACATATTTAACCAAAACTAAGAAAATTTTTAAAACTTATTAATTCTATCTAAAAATTTAATTATTTCTCAACTTATCTCCCATTAAATATATATATTTTAATAATATATTTTTTCTTTTCAATATTCAATGAAAATTAAATAAAAAAATTTTTGATAAAAATTTAATGAGATGACTTATAAATAGAACAAAAAAATCTTCTCTTTCTATTTTATAAATAAAACCAGAAAAAAATAATTATAATATTTAAATTATTTAAAACACCTTTATTACTAATAAAATAAATAAAAAGATAATTTAAAAAATATAAAACACCCATAAATGCCTCAAATAAAACTTCTAAAAAAATACTCTCTTTGTTAAAAAATGTAAAATATTTTTAATCGAACCTCATCTCTCAATAAAACTGTTACTTATTTTTAAATTAACTCTATATTTTATTATACTTACTTTATTAAATACTTTATAATAAACATGAAATTATTATCAATAGGGATATTTTTTTTAAAAAATAATGATCAAATTTTAAAAGATTAAAAATAATTTATATTTTTAAATAATCAAATCCTTACAAATTACTTTTAAATGGAGGGAGTAAAAACTATTCACTCATATTTTGGTCCATCCTAGGCTGACGCGGTAAGTTTTTCGCATTTGCAGGTCATCTCCACCGGAACGCACCCTCTACCGGAAGGCCGAAAAATAAAAAAAAATCACGTGCGGAGGTTTTGGCCCAGCAGTTCCTGAGAGTTCCAGACACACCCCGCGGGTGTTGAAACAAGGAGTAGTGGGTTAGTTCCGTGCGTGCCTGGAAAACGGGGATCGAGGAAGGAACGACAGTGGGTCTCCATTCTGCAAGTTCACTTCACTTGACTTCGTGGGGTAAGTATCAAAGAGGGACCTAAAGCTTGCGGAGATTTAGAAGGTCAGCCATGGATCCTCCGGCTGCTTCAAGCCCGACTGTAACTCAGCGTGATCAATGGATTGTAGAATCTCAGGTCCATAAGATATACGAACAGTTTGCCAATCTTCCTCCTAATGCCCAATCCGTCATGTAAGAATCTTTTCCTTCTCTATCACTCTCAAACCCAAGTTTAGTTTATTCATTGCCTCGATAACTAATTATCTTCGATTCTAGGTTGGAGCTGCAGCGTGATAGACACTTGGAGTTCCTGGAAAAGGGTCTTAGAAATCTGGGTTCCGCGTTTTGCGTTTTGGATGCCAAGTAACTCATTCTCTCCATTGCTTTCTTTTTACTACATATAGGCTCATGTGAAGTCTCGGTTGAAATTTGCTTGTGCCTACTTAAAGGTATTTGCTTCCGCATTCTTACTGGTGTGATAATGGCTTGATTATGTTGAGTTTGTTTGTTAAAACTTATTGGCTGATCCCCCCCCCCTTTTCGGTTCTAGAAATAGCTATTCATCACCCTAAAACATTTGCTTACCAGGATGATAACGTCTACTTCTTATGATCTGGTTCTGGTCAGTTACGGTGGAGTTATCTTGTTTAATTTTGTTATTTGAGCTATTCGTGGAGTCCAACAAGCGTAGCAGACTAAACATGCCTTCTCTGCAGTCCCATCTGTCATAATTAAATCTACTTCATTGTGGGAACTGGAGCATTTTTTTAGCGTCATAAGAACCATTTGAATCTTGATAGCTGCAGCCCTATAATTTTTATAAATTTATGATATCCTCATCTTGGTAGCGTATTTCTTCCTGAACTTATTTCCTGGTCTTAAATGTTGTGACATGCAGTCGACCTTGGCTATGCTACTGGATTCTTCACTCCATTGCTTTGTTGGGAGAATCAGTTGATGATGAAATGGAAAATAACACCGTTGATTTTCTCTGTCGTTGCCAGGTTTGACATTTTGATTTAATCTCATTGTTTAGTTATCTTGCATTTTATGTAAATCTTATAAGTTGATCTCTTTCTATACGACTTTCTTGTTCTCTCAATGTCTCTTTCCTTGCCTGCTCCCATTGGAAGATACATATTATATATAGATATAATTATTCTTGTCATGTCTTGACTCCATGTTTAAAAAGATCTACCGAAACAAATGACTCAAATTAGATAACCCAACCTTAATCAGAGTTGAATAAATAAATAACAAGGAGTTGATGCTGATGAAGAATTTAGCAGAACATGTATAGTAGGAGAAACGAGAATGGCAAGATAATGGAAGACTATAGCTGTTTAAACAAAGGAGTTAATGGTGAGTAACACCTTTGTGTGCAATATTTGAATAACGTGAGGGGAAAAGTAGCAAATAAAGGAAAAGGAAGAAAAAGAATTGTGGATGATAATAGTAAAGGAAAAAAAGGACTCATGGAAATAAAAGGACCTGCTTGTAGGACCACTAATTGACAGCTACTGTAATACCAGCTCCTTATATCCACAAACTTAAAGAATAAATAAGAAACTGGGAAAAGAATATTGGAAGGGGAAGAGAAATAGAAGCATAAAAGGATAGAATTCACATGAATAATAAAAACTTGACAATCAGTTACGGGGACACCAAAGATAGGGTTCCATTTGTTAGGTGAGATAACTTGGACATAAACACGTTTTTGCTTAATTTGTTGATTTGTGGTTCAGATATAGTAAGTCCTACTATGGATGAAAAGTGAGAATGATGAATTAAAAATGATCACTGAGCCTTGAGGACATCTGGCCTTTCTCACAAGCTAGGCATGAGGTTGATATACTTTGCCTATGTGCAATTTTAATCTGGGTCAACAAACCCAGTCTATCCTATTGTTGTCATCATGTAAACGTGCCATGTGTAATAATAATTTTTTAAAGATTATTTAAAATAGATATTGCTTTTATTTCTTCTCCATTTTATGATTCTTATCCCACTACATGTCTTATATTTATTTTTATTACTTGCAGGATCCAAATGGTGGATATGGTGGGGGACCAGGCCAGGTAAGCAACTATATCACTTTCTGGCATATTATTTGTTGAGTGTTAAACTTTGGCCTTGTTGAATGCTGCAATGTGTATGCATAACAAGTTAATAAACCAATGCACGTGGTATACCTCCATATTTGGGCATGATATTACTGCTACTTGCGTGTGACAATGGGAGAATAAAGTGATAGCATTGTGTTCAAATAACTTGAATTCATGGCTTTCGTAGACTTTATTGTATTGCTTAAGTTAAAGCAACTTTTGTTTAATTTGTTTTAGGTTATTACCTATAAGTTTCTCTTTGTGCTGGAGATTAAGATTTTGTGAAGTAACTTAATCTGTTGTTTTCTTTTTATGGAAGTTAGACATATGCCTTGGATCCTTGAGGTTGAATTTGTTTTTGCTACTGCTGTGGCTTCAAAGTAGTATAATTCTAGATCTTCTCAAATTTTAGTTGTTTGTTCCTTTGCATTCTCTTATGTTACAATGGTTAATATATTTGAAATTCTCCTCAGATGCCTCATCTTGCCACAACTTATGCTGCAGTCAATGCGCTTATCACATTGGGTGGTCATAAAGCTTTGGCATCAATTAATAGGTGGTCAGTTTGTGCTCTTAAAAGCAAGCTTATGTTATCACATTACAATATATGCACTTTTATTTTTTTGTTAGCTGTAATTTTCTGACATCTTGAAGTGAATGATTTTTTTTTTTTAATAACATATCATATTCTCAGAGATAAATTGTCCGGGTTTCTACATCGAATGAAACAACCAAATGGGGGATTCAGGTTTGTATTTATCTGTGTTGAATTTACTAAAAATATTTCAATAAATAAATGTAATTGACATCCACTCGCAGAATTTATAATAAATAGTGGGTAACTTTGATCCAGTAACTAGTCCATCTACTTAGACAAACATCATTTCACCTGTGGCAAATTTTGATTGTCTGTATCTGTACATTATGAGTCAGTTACACATAAATCAAAAGCTATCTGTATGTTTAAGTGTTTTGACTCTAAAGTCAGTGTGAAAAGCATTTCTTGATGCTAATTAATGTCCTTGTTGGCACATTCAGAATATATGGCCCATCCTTGAATTAATTTGTTTATTATCATGAATTCTTTATTCAGGATGCATGATCTAGGAGAAATTGATGTTCGAGCTTGCTACACTGCCATTTCTGTGAGTGTTTGTTGTCTCTGTAGCTCTATCTTCATGTCATATTTGATCATGTTTAGATATGTATATAATCAGACACGGAACTTTGTGGATGACATTGCTGACTTCATCATCAGAGTATTCATTTCATTATCTTGAACTTGGCTTTTGTGTCACATGTTACTAATAAGCAATGACAGGGTGTTAAGCCTATAGGTTAATTGACACCATTTTACTGTTAACCTCTATCATCTTCATTGTGGAGGGAGACTTTTTACCATTGGTGTATGTGCATGTTTGAATTATTGAGTATCTTCCATATCATTGCTTGTTAACACCTTTTTTCGGTTCTCTAGCACATTTTTTCTTTATGGATTGAGCTTGGTTGCCTTTATATACCTATTCCTAGTGGTTCTAGATTGCTTTCTTTGGAAGACAATTGTCGCTTGAATGAGATTATATTCATCAAACAATATTTTGAATACCTATGTACGGTTTGTTTGTTTTGTTTATTTATTTATTACCAGAATTGTTATATGGCATAAAATTCAACATCTTGTTTGAACCAGGTTGCAAGTGTCTTGAACATTCTAGATGATGAGCTGATCCGTAATGTTGGAGACTTCATTTTAAGGTTAGTTTGAAGCAGCACTAATTAAATTTTGTTGCAGAACATGGCTGTATGTTGCCATCACAGATAACATTGTTCAGAATTGAAGATAATTGTTTGAGTTCTTCATTTAAAGATAATGGTTTGAGCTCTTCATTTGAAGATACTTGTTAGCGGTTACAGGGATTGTATGATATGTTGGGTTAGTAAAATCTCTTCTTGTCTGGTTGCTAGAATCTGTAATACTTTTGACTACCTTTCTATTGGTAGACTTTGGTTAATTGGCTCATTATATATTTAGCTATCTAACAGTTGTGTTTAGACTTTTCATTTGGAATATCTTAAAGTTTAGGACTATAACTCTTGATTTTAATGGTTTATAATTAATTTGTTTCATATCATTTATTTCTTATGGTGCATGCTATATGCTCTGGCATTTCTCTGCAGCTGTCAGACATATGAAGGTGGCATTGCTGGGGAGCCTGGTTCTGAGGCTCATGGAGGGTATGTTTCATTTTGCTCTCTGTTTCTCTTTGCTCGTCATGCCCTTCCTGAGGCTATGCTTTGTGATTTGGAATTGAAAATAAAAGGGTGTGAGAAGTGAGGCTGTTGGAAAAACAGGATGGTATTCAATTTGAACATTGGACCTTGGTTGGAAGCACCAAAAGTGGGAAAATATGGAAGCACTTTTATTTTTTGGCCTTGCAAGCAAATATGGAGGGAAAATATGTAAAATTAACTAAATAGTATATAATGTCAATAAGTTATGTTAACATATTAATTAAAATCTCAGAATTATTCTCATTTAATAAGTAGATTCCAAAACTTCACATTTGTAATATCTATGTGGCATGTATGTGGATGTGCCTATCTTATTGTGAAGTCCTAGTAAATTATGACTTTGTTTTAGCAGGTATACCTTTTGTGGATTAGCTACAATGATTCTGATCGGTGAAGTTAATCGCTTGGATCTGCCTCGTTTAACTGTAAGAGGAACCTTCCTTTTCTTGTGGCTCTCAATTAGTCTTACAAAAATTTCTTGAGGTTGCAATGTTATATTGTATACTTGTATGAGGTACTAATCTGAGTTTTTGTTCTAGGAGTGGGTAGTATTCCGGCAAGGTCAGGAGTGTGGATTTCAGGGGAGAACTAATAAATTGGTTGATGGATGCTACTCTTTTTGGCAGGTGATTTTAATTTCATTGTTTTTTCTTTGGGGTTATTTGTCTTTTGATAACATAGATTGAAACTCGACTGTAATCAGGGTGGGGTTGTTGATCTATTGCAAAGATTACGTTCTATTGTTGAGAAACAAATGCCAAGCTTAGCTGCTGAAAGAGGCTATAGTGCTGAAGAGTGTCCACAGATTCCTACAACATCTGACGGATTTGAAGAAGGTTTGGATGGGATCTCTCATGATGAAACTTGCCATTTTGGGATTCTAGACAGGCTGTAGTCTCTGATAGATGCTTGAATTCTTCTACGTTGTTGAAATCTCCGTTTGATGCCAACATTTCTAATTTCTCATTCCCATGAGCTTATGATTTTCGCAGGTGTGAGGAGGTCCTCTTCGGTTAATTTTAACGACATTGGTTGTAATTTTATGAAGGAACCCAGAGTAACAGAACCTCTTTTTCACAGCATTGCCTTGCAGCAATACATTCTTCTATGCTCACAGGTCTGAATATATTCTTATTCTACCTATTGGCTATACTGCATTTCAAATATAAGGCTTTTTCTGGAAAGTCCCATGTTTCAATGTATAAGGCAGGGAGATTAAGCTTTTGGTACCCAGTCAATTGCGCGTAGTTGTTAGAACTGTGTGTGGAGTTGATTATTAAATGAAGTTGTTGATGATGCAGGATCTAGAGGGTGGATTGAGAGACAAACCGGGCAAACGTAGAGATTATTATCATACGTGTTACTGTTTAAGTGGGCTCTCATTATGTCAGTATAGCTGGTCAAAGAACCCAGATTCCCCACCGTTGCCCAAGTCAGTGTTGGGGCCTTACTCTAATCTCCTTGAACCCGTCCATCCCCTCTTCAATGTTGTCTTGGAAAGATACCACGAAGCCCACCAATTCTTCTCCGGCTTCTCCTGACTGGTGGTGACCCCATTTTATGTACCTCACCTGTATTTCGTTCGATCACTTCGATTCTGTTGGCTAACTAGGGTCATGTTTTTAAGATTGTAAATTGCTTCTTGTGAGCATTCCATTGAAGGGGGGAAAATCTATGGTTGTTAGTAGCTTTATCTACTCTTCGAAATATTGGCTAATCTAATGAGTTAAATTGTGCTTGACTTATGAATGTTGCCTCTTGTCGGGTTTTTATGTTAGGGAAAATTACACTTAGATTTCATAGAAAAAAATTAATTATCAAAAGGTTTCATGAAATGTATAAAATATTTTTTAGTCTAACTCATATGCATTTATAACTTAGCAAAGGGTATTCTGTTGTAAATATCCTTTATGAAGTTATAAATGTATAGGGTTTAAAATTTAAGAATATTTTGTACCATTTTATAAAACTGTTTGGTAATTAAATTTTTTTTGTGGGATTTAGGTGTAATTTTCCTTTTATGCTATTTATTCAGATGCTGTATACAAGTCATTTTTAAATGCCGTGTCAAAATTAAGAAAAGTTAATTAATCATCTTGTCGAAAAAAAAAAAAGAGCTTATTTTTAAGGGAAAATTGTTAAACAATATCCCACCGCAAATTTAATTGTAAAAAAGAACCTGGCACAAAGTAAAAAGACTGAAAGACCAAAATGTATTTTTAGCCTCACAACATCGATCACCGCTTACTCACCCTCCTCACATCATCGATCGCTACTTGTCGTCCCCCGTCTTGCGATCCAAGTTCTTTGCTGACAAAGTTCAGATTGCCACTGCATTCAATGAAGACTTTGATGCCTCGAGAAGCCTGGAGCATCACTCTCATCTTGCACCATTTGCCATGGTGTTGAACAATAGATTTAGGTTTACTGCAAGGCTCGTCAATTCATTGGGCTTGTTGCTTCGGAAGTTAGGTCAGTTGCGCTCCTGATAGTTGATGATTCTCTACTTCTTTTAGGGATGCACATGGGCAGGGTAGGGCTGGGCAGGAGCCTGCCCGATGCCCAGCCCAAAGAATGAATGGGTTGCAAAATGCAGCCCGAAACCCAGCCCTGCCCATAAAATGCCCTATTAGTTTGGGCTGGGCAGGGCTGGTTGGGCAGCTTTGCCCAGGCTATCAAATAATCGCCCTGCCCATTAAATCACAATTCTTTTTATCATTTTAAAATAAAACTTTCACAAATCAACAATAATCCTATGTGTCAACTCAAAATAGCATCTATAAAGTCAAAAACCATAAATTCACAATAACGGTAACAGTCACAATATCAAATTATCCATAATTGAATCCAAAATAACAACTATGATCATTGAAAACAACAAAATTCACAAAAACTTGGAGCATCATATGAGAAACAACAATTTGAAAGAGTAGACTCCAATTCACAAAAGACTTCTTCCCAACTCTCAACCTGCATGAATGGAAGAGGAAAAATATGTCATAACTAAACATATTAAAATCCTTATTCAAGGCAAATGCATGGTGAATCTTGAATGGAGTAAAAGGAAACTCACATGCAAGCCAACATTTGCTCTGGAATGCATCAGATTTGGCCTCCTCTAGATAAAAGCAGTCAAAAGAAATGGAATATACAGTAGCCGAAGCATAACTTTGGTAAATAGCAAAGCATAAGGGACCTATCACTAGTGTCCACTTCATCCAACTTAACCAAATTTACAAACTTATTTAATTTTTCAAAGAGTTAATAAAGGGTCAAGATATACCTGTAAGGAAACACTTCAATCAACACTAGCAGCCGCATTCTCCCCTCCAAATGTTGCATCTGAAGACCAAAAAAAAATTACATTAATATAAAAACTAAAATAAAGGGTGTATGTGTGCATGTGTAAACTTTAGAAAAAAAAAATATGTTACTTGTAAGCTGAATAATATTTTCTGTCTCATTAAAGTTATCAAACTCATGGAGCTTATCAACCAACTCAGAGAGAGATTGCCCACTTTGTAGCCAATTTTGCCCACAAATCAATGCTTCTGTCATTTTAGGAGATAAAGAGCTCCTATATTGATCAACTACACGTCCACCAGTACTAAATGCAGACTCAGAAGCCACTGTAGAAATTGGCATAGCCAATACATCTCGTGCCATGTGGGAGAGAATTTTATATTTTTCAGAATTGGCTTTCCACCATGATAGTATGTCAAACTCAGAATCAGATGATGAGATTTCAGCTCTAGAATCAGTTGCAAGATATCTATCTAGCTCACTTTGTGGATCCATTGAAGTTCTTTGCTTCAAAGACTCTAACCACATTGCCCCTGGATCCTCAATGTCGTTATCATCATCATCATCAAGAGAGGGCAATGATCTTGTAGATGCATTATTTGTATGGGTAGGCCCTAATTCAGTAGGAACCCCAACAGAATACTCATCAAATAGTCGATACAAATAAGTTTTGACCTTCTCCATCATCAATGCACATTCCTCAGGGTTACTGAAAAGGAGTTCAAACATGTGATTTACATAAACTAATTTGTATCGAGGATCCAAGATCACAGCCACAATCAACAATGGATTCATATTCTCTGCATGACCCCAATACTTATCAAACTTTAGATGCATCTTAAAGCTCATATCTCCTAAAAAAGTATTACCATTGTTTCCAATATGCTTCTGCAACATTTGCTGAACACGAGCAATTTGGTGGAAACAATCATTTGATGTTACAACAAGGGAGCTTGAAAATTTCAAAGTTATGTCATAAAAGACCTTCAAGAATTTGATGAAGACTTTAGCATTTTTCCAATCATCAAGAATAGGGCTAGAGAAAACACTTCCCTCTTGCCTAGAGCTAAAGAATGCAATATAGTCATCATCTTCATCACGCATCCTCTCAAACTGTAACATCCCAATTTAAATTTTAATAGTTAATTTTTGGTAAATAGAAATTTTTTAAAAAAAAATATTTAGAGATAAGTAAATTAATAGGAGATGATTATTAAATCTAACTTAGGATATAATTCTAAATTTAAAAAATAAATAAATAAAAAAATAATAAAAATAATAATAATTAATAATAATAATAATAATAAAATATTATTATTAAAATATTATTATTATTATTATTATAATAAAAAAAGTATGAGAAAGAAGGAAAGAAAGAAGAGAACAAGACGCTTTCGGTGCTCTTCCCGCAATGATTATATTTATATAATAATAATAAAAAAAAGAAGAAGAGAGAGGAAATAATAATAAAAAAGATGTGGGACCCACTGAATTTTTATAAAACTCACCCGTTTCCTTTCATTTCTTCAATTCTTTTCCTGCACACGAGCTGAGGCGGAGAGAAGTGAGTCGCTGGTGCGAAATATCTAAATTTTTAAGGTAAGAGTTTTTAATAGGATATTTAGGGTGTGATTTTAAGCTTTTCAAGACTAAGTAAGTGTTCTAAAATTTTTACTTAGTCACCCTTCTTCTTTGGTTTCTGATTTTGTAGTGGTAGAAAATTTAAGATCTGGAAGAGGGATGAATTTATGTTGAATAAATATGGTTTTTGAGGTTGTTAGTAGTATAATAAATATTCTAGAGTATAAATTTATTGGTGATCTTTGAATTTGTGGCTTATCGATCAAATTTTAGACTAGATCTGAAAATATATGTTGATTTATTGAGGTTTAGATGATTATTTGGGATGAGAAATGAATTATTATAGCTATAGGATTATGATTCTAAGCTAGAGACTTAATTTTTAATTTTTGGATATTTTAGGTACGAATTTATGAAATAAAAAGAAAATTTTGATAATAGAAATTAGTTTAGAAGTTGATTTTTAGATTATTAATGTTTATTGATAATTAAAAGAGGAGTTAAAAATTTTACTTAATAGTATTGACTCTAGATTTGTATTAAGATTGAGATTAGAAATTATGTTATATTTTTAATTCTATTATTAGAATTATTTTATTAGTTTCAAAAAAAAATTGAAACTAATATTTATAAATAATATGTTATTTGTAGATTGTATTACTGGTGAAGATTGTGGTGAGAGAGAAATTTTAAGGAATAATTTATTGAAAAAGCCACGAGGTAACCATGCTTTTAATTTGTGATTAGTGTTACTTCATGTTAATTGGGTGATTATTGAGAAAATTATGAATTTTGTAATATTGTATAATTGTGCAATATTATTATGAATTTGTTTAATTATTATGGGAGGTGTTGGGAGACTTGCTATTATTGTTGTATTTATGTGCCACGTGGTACGCCCCTATTGGAGTTCAATAGGTGGCTTGTAAGGGCTCGGGCTAATATACCTTTGGCTGGGTAATTTAGCACCGAGTGAGGGCTACAGCTCGAGGTTAATGGAGGGATATAAGGATGGTTGTTTGTGTGTATTGTAATATTTCTTATATTTGTTAGAATTATATTATTTTTAATTCTCACTTAGTAAGCACACACTTAACTGTTTGTATACACTATCATAAATTGGCTTTGGTTACTGGGACTTTTGAGTCTCATTATGTGGTTAACAATTTTCAGGAGAAGAGCCACGAGTGACACGTGGAGGAGACCCAGAGGCTTAATGGTATAGATCCACTATCTCTTTTGGGTATTTAATTTATGATTTATAATGTGTTATATTGCCAATATTAGGACTTTTTGTTTATTGTCAATTATATGAATATATAAATGTAATCATGCCTTTTAAACTATTTCTATTTTTGGTATAATTTGGATGACTGTAATTTTAATATTTGGTTTACTTTGGATTGGTTAAAATGGCATGATTATAAGGCCAAATAACTGGCTTGTGTTGAAAATTGACTAAATTGCTTATTTTACTTGTTGGGAGTATAAGAATGGACAAATGTGATTTAGTTTACTTGTTGGGAGTATAAGGATGGACAAATGTGATTTAGCCTAATGGCATGTGGGAGGTAAAAATTTATTTGAAATGTTATAGTGTGTAAATTGAAGCTAATTATAAAATATTTTATATTAAAATTATTGATATAAAAATATGTTGGGTGGCTGTAACCCAACTATGGTTGAGTTAAATTATTTAAAAAAAATTTTGGTGTGTTACACAAACACCTTTTGAAACTTCATTGCAGCTTCCAACATCAAATATGTTGAATTCCATCGAGTGCTAATATCAAGGCAGACAAGGCTCTTGGTTTCTATTTTTTCAGATTCAACCCAATTTTTAAATTTTAGAAACTGTGAA